ACTTTTGTGATAGATCCTTAGCCACAATAAAAGTGACTGCAGTTATTTCTCACTTCAATAATTTGGCCATCTGGGATGAGTGGCAAGATCTTGGAAATGCTTTACCATTCATTCCACCTCATTTTCCCTCATATTCAGCAGTTACAAAACGATATTTTATGAATTATATTGGTTAACTGATTGGTTTAAAGACTGTTTTTTTTAAAAAAAAGAAATGTGAATTAATCTTCTCGGTCCCAACCAACAAACAGCTGCACTACCTTCAGGAAGAATAAAATTATTTTTATTATCACCCCCTTCCCTTTGTATTAAACCCTCTCAACCTGTTTGAAATTTGACATGATATGAATAATTTTGGTACAAATTTCATCATCTCTCACAGCCAAAATACAAGTTACAAGTTCTTTAAAGAAATATTTTCAGAGTATAATCCAAAAATTCTTAATGATGTTCTTGAAATATGCTCATACTGACTGAACTTTCCTGCAGATTTTATCCTATTCTGGTTTTTTAAAGTTTTCTAGATGTCTCTTTTTCCAGTTGTACATATGGGAAGGCAAAGTTTGCAATAGTTTTTCTCAATCTGCTTGCAGTCTGGAGTGTGAATATGGGCATTTCTAAACCCCTGTAAGTGAGCCAAGCAGATTTTGTCCTCACTTTCAGACATAAATGGTTAACATTGTACACGTCAGCTTTGAATAGAGTCAGACTTTATGACAGCAATTTTTTTAGAAAGATACCTTTTCAGTTTTTTACCCAGAGCTCAGAAGTCCCTGGTCAACATTTGTTCTCAATAGAACCATCTATCCATTCTATGTGATCTCTTTCATTCCTTAGAGATAAAAGAAACTTCATACCAACAGAAATGGGACTGATGTGTGAAAATAAACCAATGAACAACACACCCGACTTAAATATCACAGGAATTATTTGTATAAAAACACTTGCATGAACACTGAGAGAAAAGACGGCCCAAACTGGTCAATGAAGACTAATCTGCATTGATTAATTTCAGCCTTTTTTTCTCTTAGTGTTCATGCAATATGCAAGTGTTTTTATTGATGGCCTTGTATTCAATTAATCCTTACAACTGGAAGCACAGTTTTAACCAGCAGAATAGAAAAAGGAAATTACATCTAGACCTTAATTACAATTCATTCCTGAGGTTTGGAGTATTTCCCCCAAAACACTTGGAAGAAGTGTGGACTGGAAACATCAGTGAAAGAAAGAAAATTGTGTTGTGCTCCTTACTCCCTATAAAATAGTTTGGACTCAGAGACCATTTTCCAAGATTACCTAATGAACATCTGTGGATAAGGAATCTTAATGCCTTCACCACACTACTTAGACTTAGTCTCCTGAAAAGCTGGTTTATCTTATTCTTCAATAAATGATTCTAAAATGTTCATTTTCTTATAATATTAGACTTTTTATTTTCCAGGTTTGATTAAATAACAGTCACTCAAAAACCATTCCAAGCTTTTAAAGTATTTTATATATTATCATTATATGGTGCCAAATCCCAAAGAATTATGATTCTCCTTGTCTTTGCATATAATACACATTTCCTGACTTTCTAAACATTTGAACAGTTGAAAGTTTCCATTTCCTGCTGATTTCATTATTCAAAGATTGAAGATTCAGATTATTGAAAAAAATCACTGTTAGATCCTTTTTAGAAATTATGTAAATATGCACTGTGAATCTTGCCTAATTTTGAATTTCAACTTTGAAAAATAGTAGTAAAAGCTTTATAACATCATTATAAAGTGCAAACCAATCTGCACTTGAGAAAAGTTAAAATTGTGCAAGTAGCAATATCAAATACGTGCCTTCTTTTAGTAATAATTTGCACTGTAAATTAGACAATAAAAAGTTAATAATTTAGGTTATGGAATCACATATCCCCAGCACTGTGGTCAATAAAATGTATGAATTGTAACCATACTCAATATGAGTTAAAATGAGAAATATATATAAATCAGAATATTTTTTCAGACAAAAAAATAATTTAAAACTATTATTGACAACTGACCCCATATTTAAATCTGTTTCCTCTGATGTCTTTTTTTAACCTATTTTACTTTTTTATTACTGTCTTTTGCTGAACTGTAATACTACTTAAAATTTTGTTATAGTGAATATCTAGATATCATTATTTTAACTGGCAATCTAGATTTAATGTTAATTTCTAAAATAGTGGTGATGAATTTATAGCTATTAGCTGTTATTATATGATAATTTCCAATCTTAGATGCAAATGTTCATAATCCATATCAGAAAGTATTATGGAAAAATATGAAGGGATTTCATAATTATCATATCTAATGCATATTTGTCAGACAAAATTTCCTATAGTCAAATTAATGTGTGTTCAGCAAGTTATATTCAAAATCCTTATGAAAACAGAACTAATGGTGCTTCTCTTCTCTCAGTAGTAGTATTTTCACAGTCTTTACAAAATCAATTAAGTCTGTCAGTTAAGGATTTTGTAAAGGCTATGAAAATACTATTAAGAGAAGTGAAGATCAACTGGATGTTATTTCCAATCAGATGTAAGATTGTTAATGCCAATTGTATGTTATTGTTTGTTGCATCTAGACATCAGTTTGATCAGCTCAGTAAAGAATATCTTTTCCTCTACTATATTTGTCCTGACACATGTTAACTGTGGTTCTTCATTTTACCTGGAATAGTCCTATTAGAGCAGCAAAAAAAATAATAATAATAAACCAAAAAAAACCCAGCTGACAGTATTCAACAATGTTTGCAGGATTTACAGCTGCCATAAAAGCCAAACCATTAACTTTTTGCCTATTGCTCCTTTTGTCCTTAAAAACTTAACCACATTGTTTTTTCCCACCACCATTCCCCAGGATGGCCTGCTCCAGAACAACAGTCAACAAGCACTGAATTAGACAAATGCCAAGCACTGGAATTCACAATCCCCCTAGTAGTAGCTACGTCCCATCAGCAACTGCATTGACAATCTTTTTAGACAACCTTCTGTTTTAAGATCATGTGCTAACAAGGGCAGAAGGTGGGAAATAAATAAGGCCCACACAGGTCATATTGTGGCTCAAAGTTTTCCCACTCTGTGGGAGTGATGCTTGCCAGCAGGTATCCAGGGGCTCCAAACAATTAAGCTCAATATACAAAAGGCCTGTAGTACCAGAATAGCATTGTGTTCATGCAGTAAGTAAGAAAAAAACCCCTGCAAAAGTAATTAAGGAGATAGCTATTGAAAATGCGTGTGTGTTCACATGCATCTATATCTCTCTCATACATAATTCAACACAGAAAGAGATGCACAGTTTTATTTCCTTTATTCTGATTTTATACACTTTTAAAAATAGCAGAGGCTTCTTCTAATAATATAGCTTTTAGAGGCAGGTTGTAATTTTCCTTCCACCCCTATGGAATTCTCGATATCTCTTAGTTATATGGGCTGAGAAAGAGTGAAACTTAAGTAACTGAACAGAACAGTATTAAAATATTTTCCATATATCTTTTCCCAATAGGCTCAGTTGCAGGAAAGAACTCTGCTTTAAGGCCAAGCCAATTTTACATACTAAAGAACTGTTCTCATTTTTTTCCCCTCTGAGCTCAACTATGGCTGTTTAAGGATATAATAATGTTGAGTTTTAATTTTAAAGAACGATGCCTACATTCTCACATACCACAAGTCTGAGGTCAGGAAAGGTTAGCCGAAGGAGTAACAGTCAAGGATTCACTTCAGGAATATTCAGAAACGACCCACAAGCCTGGAATGCAAAGTATGTATGGGACTGTGCCTCTTGCATTTCTTTTTTAATCTCTATTTCCCTTCCTACCAGACGATCCTGCAATCCAGAGACACATCACTGAATTGCAACACAGCTCCGATCGAACAAAGCTATTCAGCAATAAGATTCTGTACAAGGGTTCTGCCTCAGGAAATGACACAAACCCTGGGAATCCGAAGTGAGGATGACCCTCTCTCCCCACAACGAAACCTACTCCCACTTCCCTTGGAGGGATCCATCAATGGCCAAGCCCAGAGCCGCCCAAAGCCGTAGGAAGTCACACATTCTCCTGTCACTGGAGATTCTCAATGATCCAGGTCATGGTTGTGCCAAAGGTGCTTTTTTTCAAGAGGCAACTGGACTTTCTGGTTTTTCTTTGAAGACGTTTTGCTTCTCATCCAAGAAGCTTCTTCAACTCTGACCACCTGCCTGCAAGGAGTATAAATCCTTCCACTCCCCCACCATCCAGTCAGAGCTGAAGAAGCTTTTTGGATGAGAAGCAAAACGTCTTCAAAAACCAAAACCAACCCCCCTCCCCCCAGAAAGTCCAGTTGCCTCTTGAAAAAGCATCTTTGGGACGTTCTCCTGTCACGTTTTCCATCCTGAGATCACCGCAGCTCGCCCGGCTTCGCTTCCCTTCGCTTGGTTCAAGAGACCCCCAGCTAGTCGAGGCGCACCGCAATCCGGACAGTTCTGACCAGGCTCCATCATGCCTGCCTTCACTTTAAAGCGGCTCTCCAGTCACGTTCACAAGCCTTTATAGCCCAGCCTCGCCGTAACCGGCGGGAGCAACGCGACCCAAGCGAACGTGGGACTTGGTGACGACGATACTTACGCGTTAATATCATCCTGACTCGGTCGTCCGGATAACTGGCGTGGCCGCTCCTGCTTCACTCTCTACCCATCCTTCAGATACGGCTCCGCAAACCAAAAGACGGCGAGGCAACGCCGTCCGCCGTCCGTGCCAACCGGTTCGCCGAAGGGAAGCCTAGCCCAAGAATCGGGGGCGCCTCCAACGAGCTCGCCCGCCGCTTAGATGCGTGTTTTTGCTTGCTCGCTGGCTGGCACCGCAAGCCCCCCCCCTCCCCCAGTTCGTGCAAAACGCTGCGAAAGCTACGCGAATTACGATGCGCCCGTCCCGCTTGCAGAGGGGAAATGAGCGAGGCGGGGCCTTGGGGCTCCTCCCTCCTCGCCGCCTTTTCTGGGGGAGCGGAGATTTGCAGATGCTCTCACCGAAGTCTTGGCGAATTTTGCGGTTTTTGGTGAGGACGGAAGAATTTGGAGAGTCGAAGAAACGGGATCACTGACACGCATACGTTAAAGTATAGATCCGGGTGCAATGAAGGGGCCGATCGCTCTTGATTAATGGCCAGGTACCTTTCCCTTTCCTCCTCCCCCCAGTTTCTTAATATCAGATCATCAGACCAAAGCCTTGTTTATGCTATGAACAGTGGTACTGATTTCTCAGAAGAGGACGGAATCATTACTCATTAGATTTGTGTTTCTCAATTTGAGAAGGTTAAGATGCCTGCATTTCAACTCCATGAAATCCCCAGCCAGTTAAAATCCACATCATTTACACATGAGCATCATCAAATTACTATTGAGCAGAGACTGACCAACCATACTCGGCATGTAATCCTATATCTGCATGGAAGGAAACATGCAGTGGGGTACAGGGCCGGATTTAGATGAAAAGAGGCCCTAGGCTATTCCACTTATGAGGCCCTTTCACCAGTGGTGGGATTCAATTTTTTTAACAACAGGTTCTGTGGGCGTGGCTTAGTTGGGGGTATGGCTTGGCAATCATGTGACTGGGCAGGCGTGGCTAGCTGATCACGTGACTGTAGGCGTGGGTAGCTCATCATGTGACCGGGTGGGCGTGGCTATGTGCATAGACTTTTTTCAGGGGGCTGAAAAAAGTCATTTCTGACTGGGCCTCGTACTTTTGACCGGTCCTCACATTTATGACCATCCTCACATTTATGCCCGTGCAGCTTTCTTAACAACCATGTCACTCATTTCACAACTGCTTCTCTTCACCATGGTGACAAGATAGGGCAAAAACGTAAAATGTGAGGACAGTCGTAAGTTCGAGGACTGGTCAAAAATGCGAGGACCAGTCAAAAATAACTTTTTCAGCCCTCTGAATAGTCCATATGCACAAAAGGACTACCCAGAGGGCTGAAAAAAGTGATTTCTGACAGGTCCTCGCACTTTTGACCAGTCTTCGCACTTATGACTGGTCATCATTTATGCCCATTGTAGCATTCTTAACAACCATGTCACTCATTTCACAACTGCTTCTCTTCACCATGGTGACAAGATAGGGCAAAAATGTAAAATGTGAGGACAGTCGTAAGTTCGAGGACTGGTCAAAAGTGCGAGGACCAGTCAGAAATAACTTTTTCAGCCCTCTGAATAGTCCATATGCATAAAAGGATACAGCAATAGAGAGGGATGAAGGAAGGGAAGGGAAATTAGAGTAGGAGTGAGGGTAAGAGAGGTAGGAAGAGAGGAGGAGAAGGAGAAAGGAAGAGGAAGTAGGGAGGAGAAGAAGAGGGGGAGGAAGAGAAAGTAAGAAGGAAAGAAAAGAGAGAGGTGGTAGGTTTGAGGAGAAAGATTGCTGTACAATAAAAAAGATGAAAGGGAAGAAAGCCAACCCCAAACAAATATAAAGATATTAAGATAAAGAATGAATTGTTAAACTTTAAAGAATAAAAGAGAACAAATATGAATAAATAATAATTAGAAACACACATACAAACATACAATGTATTTTCTTTGAACAGAGTATTTGGCTGGTTCACAAATTTAAACAGTGTTTAGGCATTTCAATTAAATTTACAATTTCTATATTTCCTTTTTGCCATATTTATTCCTCATTTATTTTTGTAAAAAACTAATATTACCCTTCATCCTCATCTCTAATCTTAATCAAATTCAATTTTTCCCTTCTATTCTATATTATACCCCTTCCCATTGTCATCTATTTTTATATCCATCCTCACATTGGTTAATTATGTAATATTAGTTGTTTAATATAAATTCAACATTTTAATATAAATCAATTAGTTATATAATTACCTTTTTTGTATATTAATCAATATGAACATGAATATTCCAATTATTTCCATGCAATCCAATTTGTTACAAATCAATTAATTATATTTACCAATAATAATAAACCAAATAATTTCCCCCATATATTCCTCCAAACCACAACTTAACTATTTCTGCTTTCAGAAATATACAATTAATAGTATCTCAATTATTACAATTCCCTAGTTAAATAGAGCTTTTTTTCTTTTGTGTTTTAAAATCCTGAACTCTCCTCTTTTTCCCTAAATTTCCCATTGTTTGCACCTACCTTTTTTGGTGAAGAAAAAGAAAAGAATTCTGCCTGCCTAATTTTCCAACCTTGCAGCAACAGCAAAGCAGTTTCAGTTTTGTTTCTCAGCGTAGCTAGGGGGAAAAAAATCAGCACTCTTTGCAAGGAAGCAGAAGAGCCCTGAGCAAAACAGCTGAGACAAATCAGCTGAGAGCCGGGAGGCCAATTAGCCTATGCTGAAGCTCTGTGGGCCAATAAAATTACAAAAAAAAACACTGAACCCTTTGTTAAATTGCTGGCTCCCCTGCCCCTCGCCCACCACTATTTATTGGCAATAAATAGTGGTGCGGAGGGGCGGGGCAAGCCAGCAATTTAACAAAGGGTTTGGCTGCACCCCTGGCTCTAGGGCGGCCCTTTGAAGCCCCGCGGCAAGAATTTGAAGTTTTTTTTTCCTCTAGCCATCAGAGGCAGCAATAGATGGGGAGTGGGCGGGGTAAGCGAACGGCCGGCGATCCAACAGAGCAGAGAGTGAGGGTGAGTGAAGGCGTGGAAGCTGCTTTCTCCATCCTGCTCTCTTGCGTCCGGAGCCCACGTGGATCCCAGGCTAGGGAAGGGGTGGACAGCCAAGCTGTCTCAGGAATTCTGGAAGTTGAAGTCCACAGGTTGTAAAAGAGCCACAATTCCCTACCCCTGGCTACGGTAGGCTGGCGCCGCGCGGGTGGGAGGCGAGGGGCGGGTGAGCCAGCAATTTAACAAAGGGTTCGGCTGAACCCCCTAGAACCCCCAGAATCCCACCACTGTGTAGGCCCCTCTTGATCTTGAGGCCCTAGGCTGAAGCCCAGTTAGCCTATAGGAAAATCCGACCCTGGTGGGGTATCTCAAGTTTCTGGTTTAGGCCCAGTACTTGTCTAATAAATAAATGATCTAGAATGAGGGGATAGTAGGGGAACTCATCAAATTTGCAAACAACACCAAGCTAGAGAGAATTGCTAATACCATTTGTTCCTTATGGTAGAAGATCTCCTGCCTTGGACAGGGGGTTGGAGAAGACCTCCAAGTTCCCTTCCAGCCCTATAAATCTATGATTCTGTGCAAAATTACATTGTGACTTAGCATTTTGTATGAACGCATCAAATCATGGCTTAAATAACAAGACATGATTAAACAAGTCGTGTTGTAGTATGCTGCGTGAACCCATTCCTAATGTCTTGTACTGTAGGAATATAGGCCCAGTGAATCCAAACAGCCGCAAATAAAACTGCTTTCCAGACAATGTTCCTGTTAAGAAGTGCAAGTAAAACTACAGATATCTGCCATTTTGTAGAGTGCTATAAAGTTCTGTGATGATAAAACGTATTAATGGGGTACAGTTTTCTAGTTCCAAATAAGGGAACAAGTGATGAGAACCCCATGCCCAATCTAAGAAGTGCCTTCACATCTCAAGACTGATTTTGACAGTGACAAGCACATTGGTAATTAAGACCTTTTTATTTTAAAAAAAGATAACTAACTACAAAAGTTTGGAAGAAAAATTTGTGTTTAGTTATTATTTTGCGTACTGTTTCCAACTCACCGACAATATAGACACAAATTCCTATGAATGGGCACATTGTAGAGATGGTTGTGTTTATCTTATATATCACTTGGAGCCAAAGGATAACAAAATACAAACAAGTCTGACAATTTAAAATGAAAAAAATGCAAATGATAATTCACTTGCATCAGTACATTTCTCCAGACTATATATATTAACTAATTCCTACAGTGAGGCAACATGCCATAATCTCTCCTCAAGTCTATGAACAGAACTGAAGAACTTTAAATGCATTTTAAAGTGCTTAAGTCATTTTGTTGACAAATGTCCATTTTAGATGTGTTTAAAAATGTTGAAGACTGAATTATCTTTTTCTCAATTTGTGCATCATTTTTCTTAAATGTTGCCCACAGTTTTAAAACTTTTCAATAACACAGTAGTGCTGATCATTTGATATACACATTTAATCATACTGTATGTGATTGAAAGTGGTCTTCAGTGGTCTTGTGGGAAAAGGAGATGTAAAAAATATAATTACCTCTTATTATCAAGAGATACAATTGTAGAAAATGAATGAATCAACAGCCTGTTCAAATTAATCTATATCTATCCATATATGACTCTAAAATTCTGTCTCCTGCAAAATACATGCTGAACAAAATATTTGGAAGAAAACAGGAAGAAGAGATATTAGCTTTTACATGTTGTAATCAGGTATCCTAAATTAACTGGTTGAGACAGACAAATCCTTTGCTTTCGTCTAGACAATCACCAAAGTAGTAAATTTTTTAGTGTTGCTTAACTGTGTACAATTTCTGCAAATAAGTTTCCCAGGTTTTATTGTTACAACACAATAGCATTATCCCTGAAGAAATGTGCAAGTAGAATTCTTCCAGTAACACCAACATCTTCATTTTATATAGTTTGTTAAGGAAACAGGTTCCTAATTATGGGAAGCATATGGAATTGCTATATTGTCTCTCATTCACTTTTAAATGTATTTATTTATTTAAAGCACTTATATAGTTGCTGATCTCACATATTATAACCCCAGGAGGCTCACAGAGCAACAATAAAAATATGAAATTTAAAAAACACACACAACAAAAACAGCTGGTGCCTCAAAGGCAATATATTCCCACTCATCCGTATCCAGCTGCACTCAGTGGCAGCCTCACTCCACCCCAATGTAATGGGAACGACCAAGTTTTACAAGAAGGCTATGAAATTGGAGGATTGCCAGATCACAGGGAGAAGGATATCCCACAGGGCAAGGGCTACCGCAGAGAAGACAGACTTCCAAGGTTCTGGGAGATGACAGTATTTTAGAGAAGAGACCTACAGTAAATCCAACCATACTGAGCATTTTTGTGCAAAGGTAAAATACCATTTAGGTGAGGTGGTCCCACAAATCTCTTGACCCTATGTTATTCAGGGTTTTAAAGTTGATAACCAGCAACCTGAATTGCACCCAGATGAGACTATGAGATGTGCAGCACATGTGATATAGTAGCGATATCATATGTGCAAACCATAGAACACCGAGAATTGCATGCAGTGCTGAATTCTGGACTAGCTGTAATTTCCAGATAGTCAAGGACAGCCCCAAGTAAAGCACAATGTAGTAATCTAACTGGGAAGTGATTAGAGCATGAATGGTTGGGAGCAAAGCACTTGACACATAAAATGCAAAGTCCCTCCTGGCTTTCACTGCTACCTTCTTCTGGAGCAGGAACTGCAAATCTTGGAGAACCCTAAATTATTTACCAATTCTATCCAACTGATGTACTTAATCACTTCCAGCTGGCATCCAACTGTGACCAACGTTGAGCAATGTTATCTGACAGATGACGAGAATATTTCTCTTAATCCTGTGCAGACTGAAAGGGAAGAGAAAAGGCATACAGTATGTGTGAGAGTCAAATGGTTGCACAAGATCGGAAGGCCTCTTTTCATCCATATGCATTCACTGGATGATCTTTTTAAAACTTAGGTCACTGGGTTCTTTCCATGGGCCAAATCAATGGAAAAACTCCCCCCCCCCCCCCGGAAAACCATTAACCAACATTATGATCAGTGGTGAGGAATTACTGGCAATTTAATACAACGTCTGGGAACCATAGGTCCTGGATCCTGTTTTACGTAAAAATATCTGGGACCAGAGACATGCAATGTACTTTCTACTAATGAGCTATGATCCACCTACTATGATGATTCCCATACATATTTTCTTTCTTTAAAGAGAATAATGAAGAAGCTAGGACCTGCTTATATATTGTTAGGTATTTAAATTGTATATTGCTTCTAAATAGCAATAGCTACTTAGACTTATATACCACTTCATAGTGCTTTACAGCCCTCTCGAAGAGGTTTACAGAGTCAACATATTGGCCACAACAATCCGGGTCCTTATTTTACCCACCTCGGAAGGATGGAAGGCTGATTCATCCTTGAGCCGGTGAGAATCGAACTGCTGGCAGTCTGCAGAATTAGGCTGCAATACTGCATTCTAACCACTGCGCCACCACGGCTCCTACAATATTTGTTGTCTTCGTTTTCTTTTCCCTACTATGAATTGTGTTAGGCATGCGCAGATGCAATTCTATAAGCGTGTTATTAATAATAATCTAGCATTACAGCAAATTAGCAATTAGCAAAAAGGACCAATGAAAAGTAGAAGCACATTTTGTGACTCCAATTTCCTTATTTGGATAAGAAAAACCATGCACATGATTTCAAAACTGATTATTTTAAACAAAACCCCAAACTATTTCAAGATTATAAAATAATATTTAAATCTAAGCAGTAGGGCAAATAAGGACAACCCTATTGCTAAATCTGGTGTCCCAGCTCATACTCCACCTATTATTTGTTAAATAAAAACATACATTTCTTCCCTTAAATCAGATCTTGGCTTACCATCTCTCTCCCAAAAGAAAGCTATCCTGCCTAGTTTGCATAAGATTCAGTCCAAGGATTGGATAAAATGAACACAAATGAATTGTGGGGAACAGTAGGTTCTTTCTACAGTACATGAATTCATCATGAAGACTAAGGTTGGGCAACTTTCCCTCTGTTACAGGGCCCATTTCCACAAGAGTTATCGACTGAATTGCTCGCCAGGGCCAAAACAAGTAGTAGGCAATGCCAGAGGAAAAAGTGGGTGGGTCTATTTGTTTTTCTCCCCCCTTTATAACAGCCAAGATTTAGGCAGACATTTTATTTATCTATTTATTTGCAAATGCTAAATGTTGCTATGTTTACCACATTAATGAAAATATGGAGCATGATATTGGCATTCTGAAATGGACATGTTGATTTGAAATATGTTTTTGATTAAGATCATGAAGGGCGAACAATTTATTTTTTAAGTGAATTCCTGAAAATTAAAAAAAAAACATTTTTAGTAAGATCACTAGGTGTCACGTTCAGCTGAGTAAAATGTATAAATCACAACACCCCCCAAAATCTGTCAGAAGACAGTTTGTTGCTATTGTATTTCTGTTGCTGATTTCTCACTCATTAGTCTATTTTGATATTGATTATATATTTTCTTTTAATCAGTGATTTTTTATTGCAGGATTATGGCAATACCCAGTTTAGAACCCAAGTTCCTTCGGAAATGCTCTTCCAAGGCTGCTGTTAGTAAGGGACTGCTTGGCAGTATTTTAAGTATGAAAATTCATTAAAGAAAGGAATATCTTCACTTAGGTAGGAATATAATCTAAATCTGGGTTGGAAAGGAAATTAGGGACACAGAATGAAGCAAAGTAATTTGAACAATGAGTTCTTTAAGCATTGAAGGCTATCTTGCTGAGATGCCGGTGTGGGATAATATATTTTATTGTCCATTTTGTGGGACAGCCTGCTCCAACAAAGCTCATGTTATGTATTTAAGAAAAACAAAACCGAGTATAAAAAGTGTCACAAGTTTCATTTGGTCCCTCAAAAGAAAATACAATCCAAATAAACATTGTATTGCTAGAATTTTTCACTGCTTTTGCACGTACTATAAATATAGTCATTTAACTGTAATAATTAGTGTTGTTAGCTGCCTTGAGGACTCTGCAGGTATGTTTTTAGTCTGTCATCAGTATCTGAGAAGCAAATAATATGACGATTTTAAGGCACTTTCATGTAGATCAGGAGTGTCAAACTCGATTTCATTGAGGGCCGCATGAGGGTAATGTTTGACCTCGGGGGGGCATGGTGGTGGCCATGGCAAACTTGATGTCACTCAAGGGTCCATTTTCAACTGTGACAGCCTTCTGCAGCCTTCTGCCAGTGAAAACGCAGTTCGGGAAGGCCACGCGCAACCCACCTGTGCTCCGTTTTTGCCTGCAATGGACTCCTGCAGCCCTCTGCCAACGAAAACGGAGCCCAGGAAGGCAGGGTGTAGTTTTATGATCTGCCAAAGCAAAGGCTTTCAAGAAGGTTAAAAAAAGTGTAAATCTATCAAAAAATACAAATAAGTGCTGTGTGGTCTATTTCCCCATAACCCTCTGTTGCTGGTGTGGCTTTTCACTGGCAGAGGCACCACGGGCTGTTCCTTCGCTGTTTCCAGGGCGGCTCCATGGGCCAGATCTAAGCACCCCATGGGCCAGGCCTTGAGTTTGACATCCCTGATGTAGATGGTTAGAACTTCTTGTGTCTGCTGAAGGGTATCAACACTAGCAAGATAGGGGATAGAGTAAAGCTATCCCATATGGGAATATCAACAGTATAAAAATGGTAGGCATGACTGGACAATCAGTACTTCTGTTTCTTCTTAATATGTCAACATGTATAAAGAGACAGGGTTTTGATCACCCAATCACTTGATCCTACTACTTTGACATTGTTGACCGTTTTCTGCAGATACCACAAGATGGAATGTCATCATGCAAGCCCCACCACTTTAACGTGCACACCAACATCAGATAAACAGTCAAAAGAGACAGGGAATGCTTCATTCATTCATCTTGTATAGAAGCCATTTCAAACCAGTGAGTCTTTTCCCTCCAAATTGCCAATCTTGAACACCCTCCTGGTAGCTACTACTAATCAGCCTTCAGCACGCATTTGTGAAAAACAGGCCTGCAAGACTATCTTTGTCTCATTTTTTAAATAGATGACTCTGTTAATAAACTGAGGGAATGCTGAGGATAACTTGATTTCAAGAAAGCATTTAACAAAATACTTCAAAGCATTTTGATTCAAGCAGACTAATTAAGAATAAGCTGTATGGAAGTAATGAAGGCCAAAGCTACTTGAAAGATTTTTCTTAGACAGTATTCATCAAAGGCTTCTCATCAAACTGGAGAAAAGTTAAAGAGAATTGGATGTTGAATTGGGTACGCATCAAGGGAAAGTAGAAGATATGCTTATCAGATCTGAAAATATAAAACTAGATATAGTGTAAAAGACAGAAGCAATATCCAAAATGAACTTTTTTATTTGGAGAAAAGTTTTATTTAAATTTTTATGCTAAAGAAGTAAGCTGAAAACAACATAGTGAAATTTAATAGAGATAAATACTAATTTCACAGCATCATTTCAGCAGAAATTATAATTTCCAGACCATATTCTAGTTTGTTGTATTTTGGTCAGTCCACTGTCTAAATATTGGTTTCAAGTATTGGTTTCACCCTTTCTGAGTTGTATAGTCCACAGTTTAATAATTCAGACAAACCAGACCACATTTACAGAAGTTCTGTGAAGAGAATTTGAAGGAATTAGAATGTTCAATCATGAGAAGACTAGAAGTGAGATGGTTATGCTTTTCAAATGCTCAAAAGTATATCACAAGAAGAGGAGCAAAATCTCTTCTCTATCATCCCAGTGTGTATTGTGTGGAATAATAGATTCAAGTAATAGGAAGCTTCTGGTTGAATGATAGAACAATCAGAACCCAATTATTTAGTGAGATTGTAGATTTCTTTTCAATGGATGTGTTCAAACAAGAGCTGTAAACCCATCTGTCAAGAATACTTTAATTTTTCCCATAGTCAATGAGGGATTGGAGTGGATGACCTAAATGGCAATTTCCAACTGTATGATTCTATTTTAAAATAAGATCATTAACATTTGGGGAAAGTTTTTTTCCTTCCAAGCAAATTGCTAGCATATCTTTGAATTTGAAAAACACTGATTATGTTACCTAGTTTGGATAATGAAATGTCTACAAGAAAACAAGCAAGAGAGTACCAAGGACCCCTCATTTCAACCCTGAACTACAAATATTGTCCTTTATTAGAATTTTACCTTCCCTTATAGGGACTGACTTAATATAGATATTTGTGAACCACTATAAGAAATGTTAAATAAAAGACACTTAAGTAAATGTAAGAACCATCTATGAACGTCAATACTTTATACTCAAATGGAGAAAAAATGCAGAGCATACATTCTCAACAAACTAGGTATTTGAGACCAGCACTCTTGCAATAACATGGAATTATGATTAGCCAGTTGTCCTCTCTTACATATTTGGACTGTTATGAATATTTGGAATATTTCCTATATAAAGTTGCTCTTCTTGTTCTTTTTAACAGAGGTATGTAAGGAAAGAGCCTAAATTCTGTTCAAAAAGCAAATGTCTATGGAGTCATTCAGGTCATGGTTGTCCCAAAGGTGCTTTTTCAAGAGGCAACTGGACTTTCTTTGTTTTTCCTTGAAGATATTTTGCTTCTCATCCAAGAAGTTTCAGTACAATGCAGTAAGACATGTGCACATCTGTATTTTGGAGAAACAAAACAACCACAAACGTATGGCACAACATAGGAGAATAAACCCATGAGGACAAGATTCAGCAGTCCATCTGCACTTGAAAGACTCTTTTGAAGACAACAAAGTCCACAGTCTGGACAGAGAGGACAACTGGTTTGAAAGAGGAGTCAAAGGGGCCATCTACATTACAATTGAACTGCCCTCTCTCAACAAGGGGTGTGGGAGTCTGACATCACCTATCTCCTGTTTACAAAACAATTCCTTCAGCAGTTGTAAAAAGGTTCCACACTCATTTGCAGTATTCAGGTGACACAGATAAACCTCCAAGTGGCCTCCACCACTCACAGAAAGAGTGTCAACGATCAGATAACTGCAAGGAATATAAATCCTTCCATTCCCCACCATTCAGTCAGAACTGAAGAAGCTTCTTGGATGAGAAGCAAAACATCTTCAAGGAAAAACAAAGAAAATCCAGTTGCCTCTTGAAAAAAATAGCTTTGGGTCACAAAGTAAACCTCATTTCAATGGCAGGGCCTACTGTTACCACTTTTAATTCATTTTTAAATAGCCGTACTTTCCAACAAAACATTTTAATTTCTTCATGCTACTTGATTTAGAATTATGTGCTGTCTTTCAACCATTAAGACCCACTTTATGCAATTATATAATGTATGGCTTAGCATCTGCTTTGGCGACTGAGCCCAGTGAAGGATCTGGGCCATAGAGAAACTCAACAGAAAACCTTTCTCTCAGGTGTATCCCAACAGAAGTCAAATTATGCAAGTCTGCTTTCGACCTACATTACTGCCAGAAGCAGCATTGCCTACACCCTCTGAAACATGCCATCCCAGGGAGAGCCTGATCTAAGCTACGATAAGCTTTCCAACACATAATGTAACATGAAGTTGCTGTGGAAGTCTCACCACACCTTTAAACATTTTCTCACCCGATTTGGACATTTACCTGAGTTAACACATAAATCAGATTCACCAACATGCTTATTTGTACCCTATGATTCATTAAGTGTTGTACCTTATGATTCTTGATGAACGTATCTTTTCTTTTATGAACATTGAGAGCATATGCACTAATTCCTTGTGTGTCCAATCACACTTGGCCAATAAAAAATTCTATTTATTTTTAGCCAAATGCTCCCAATCTTCCTATTAAACTGCCTATTACTATGCTCCTCTCTCAGGGCTACCGCTGGGTCCAAAGACACACATTTCATTTAGTTAGACAGAGTCATATTTATTATTGAAAGCCTAGCTCACGCACAAAGACATCAGTTGTACAACTTTTTCAGAGTAAAATATCGCAGCAACCTCTGTTCAGGCTCCTTTCTCTATATCTGAATTTTCCATAAACAGTCATGAAACTGTCCAGCAGCTATCTTCTTTGTTAGCATTCCATTTGCAAATCCTCGCAAACATCTCTGAATATCACACATAATTTATTTTGCAATTCTCATTATGGATTGCTTTCCTACTGTGTACCTAGAATTTGCATGTTACTACTACCATCCCAGGGGATACGCTTGTCGATCAGCAGTTCAAATTCTTAGTGCAGCGTAATGGGATGACCTCCAGTTACTTGCCCCAGCTTCTGCCAACCTAGCAGTTCGAAAGCACGTTAAAAATGCAAGTAGAAAGATAGGGGCCACTTTGGTGCGAAGGTAACAGCGCTCTGTGTGCCTTTGGCGTTGAGTCATGCCAGCCACATGACCATGGAGACATTTTCGGACAGCGCTGGCTCTTCAGCTTAAAAATGGAGATAAGCACCGCCCTAGAGCCAGAAATGACTAGCACACATGTGTGGGGGAACCTTTTCCTTTACCTTACTACCATCCCAATAAGTAGTGCTTAAGGCACCAGGCTAGAAACAGATTGTGAGTTTTAGTCCGGCATTGGGCACAAAGCCAGCTGGGTCAGTCACTTTCTCTCAGTCCTAGAAAGGAGACAATGGCAAAGCACTTCTGAAAAACCTTGCCAAGAAAACGGGGATTTGTTGCGGTATCTCTAAGAATCAGACACAACTGAACAGAAGGGAAGAAAACATCACAGGCCCTCAGAATTAAGCAGGATTGGACTAGTTAATATTTTAGTGGAGCATCATTAGGAAATCCTAGGGCTTTAGACAAAGCTGGGACTTTAAAATAAAAACCATAGCTCAGCTGTTCAGCAAATTCTCTACATATTGTTGCCAAGAAAATGACATCAACCTGCCCACATAAAGTTACCAAGAAACAAGCTCAAGTTGAGGGTCATTATCAGTACGCTTTGGATATAAACTGCTTATCTTCTAGATAACTTCTCCTAAACTGTCAAGTCAGAGTAAATCTTCCAAACATTTAACAAAGGACTTTTGCCAACTTATTCCCTGGTCAGTTTGCAGTAATGAAATCATATAACATTGCACAAAAACAGATGCATCACATAGAAACAAATTGAAACTGGCAGCTAAAAGGTGACTCTCCAGATTACAAAGCTTTTTAAAGTCAGTTAGAAAAAGAGAGAGAGAAAAAAAGAATATTTGTTTAATGTAAATAAGTAACATAATTGGGAACCCCGTGAGAAGGAATTTCATAAACAGGCCAAATTTTTAAAACTCACTGGTCACTGCCTTCCCACAAATGGCAAAAAATGCAGAAACGTTTCTTTAATGTTTTCACGGGCAGGTTAGGAATGGAAAAGGTGTTCCATTAGAACCTCTGAATGTTGGCATTGGACACAAAAAGCTCTGGAATAACAAGGCTACATGTACCATTGTTGCAGTTTCAGTAATGCTGTCTTTTGCTTTAGTAGCCCTTTTGGTTTAACATTTTCCTGAAACTAGTTAAAGGAGATAAAGATGCCATAAGGAAAGAGGGCAGCAGGTATTTCAGGGTGTCATCACACTATCAGGTATTCCTTGGATTTTTTGCACACAGGCATTTATGCATAAACTTACGCCTTTGGCAGGACCCGTTTCATAGTCCCTGGGCCCATAATATCCATACAAAACTTTTGAAGATCGGGATTTCCCCCATTGAAGCTTTTACGTTAGGCCCTGATGCTGCCAAATCGTTGATTTTTCAACGGCTGGACAACATTGATAGACAATTAAATCTGGCAAATGGATCGGGAACATGCTCACTGTTTTCCCTTGGTATTGTTCCCTTGCCTCACCTTCCACCTTATCTCTCCACGTTACACTCTATCAAACATAGGCTCGCATTTATGAAGGCACGATTTAACGTGATCCCCTCGAGTGTCCTCGACAATAGGCTCTCGGGGGGAGTAAAATCCATCTATTGTACATGTGATGGCCGATCCCCGGAATCTCTGTTCCACATTACATTCGTATGTCCCCACTACCGAGACATAAGATCAAGATTCATTTCTCCTATTTCCCAGAGATTCCCTGGTTCACCTGATCTGTTCAGCCTTTATTTCTTACTCCAGGACACAGACCCCAATATAACTCCAAAGGTGGCAAAAAATTTTGCTGCAGTCGTGGCTGAAAAAAAAACGGGGGAAGAGACGGGTAACCCCTACGGCAGAGGATCACTAGTATTGTTAGTACAGAGTGTATCTAAGGCAGTAGATGGTGTACTGTCACATGATCTATCTATATTTGTAAAATTATACTCCCCTTCTATGTGTATTTTAATTTGGTCTTTGACTGCAATAAAAGCTTACTTACTTATGCACAAACTTCCTTGCTGTAAACAAATGAAAGGTTTCCAGCTGCTGTATGAAGCCCTGTGGCTCTTAGAAGCTACTTAGCAATGTGGCTTTATTGCAGGGGTGAAATCCAGCAGGTTCTGGAGAACCGATAGCGGAAATTTTGAGCATTTCGGAGAACTGGCAACGGTGGGTTTCAACGGTTCTGTGGGTGTGGCTTGGTGGGCGTGGCTTGGTGGCATGATAGGGAGGGATACTGTAAAATCTCCATTCCCTCTCCAATTCAGGGGAAAGTTACTGCAAAATCCCCATTTCCTCCCAATCAGCTGGGATTTCGGAGGCAGAGAATAGATGGGGGGCAGAGCCAGTCAGGATTTTTACTACTGGTTCTCCGAACTACTCAAAATTTCCGTTACTGGTTCTCCAGAACTGGTCAGAACCTACTGAAACCCACCTCTGACCAGCAAATACCACTTCTGGCTGGCCCGAGGGTGGGGTGGGAATGGAGATTTTGCAATATCCTTCCCCCAGGAATGGGGAGGAAATGGAGATTTTGCAGAATCCTTCCCCTGGAGTGGGGTGGGAATGGAGATTTTGCAGTATCCTTCCCCCAGGAATGGGGAGGAAATGGAGATTTTGCAGTATCCTTTCCCTGTAGTGGGGTGGGAATGGAGATTTTGCAGTATCCTTCCCCTGGAGTGGGGTGGGAATGGAGATTTTGCAGTATCCTTCCCCTGGAACGGGATGGGAATGGAGATTTTGCAGTATCCTTACCCTGCCACACTCACCAAGCCATGCCCATGTAAAAAAAAATTGTATTTCACCATTGCTTTACTGCATTTTGGAGCTTCCTGCAGCAGCATTGCTTTAACTTTCTCCAAGGTGACTTTTTCTTGGGGGGGTGGGGGTGGGGAACCAAACAAATCCTCAACTCTGCTATTCTTCCCAG